CTTTGCACATGAGACCACCACGCCAGACCGAATCATAAGCCAATTATGGATCGATCAAAACCACTCCTGTTTTTTGTTTCCGTTGGAATGCTACCTCAGTGAAACTGGTGAGTGAAGGCAGTTGCTCGCAATAACTGCGTCCGTATCGAAAGCCAGCTTGTTCCTTTGGGAGGGCGACTTCAATGACAAGAGAAAGCTGCGTCAAAAAAGTTCGATCCATCAGTTTCCTGGCCGTGCACAGGAAAGAAATAAGCCTGTGACTGTTCAGCCTCTCTGGAAGTTTTCCTGGCTTTTGGAGGGCGGCGACTTTGGCACGCCGCCAGGTGGACGGAATTTCTCCGGTTGTATGGATTGCCATAAAAAGAGAGGCCAGCCACTGTCGACCCTTTGGACCCAAGTTCTTAAGAAATTCCGGGAAAATTTCATCCACATCACCATTCACCAGCATCCTTCTTGTTCTTCGTGGCCAACAATGCCACGTTTATTTCCTCTATAGTATATGGGGTGGATAGGGGGCTTGTTTCAGGGCAGCTGTTAACAGTAAGAAAATATTCTTTCTGCATTATCTTGCGGACGGCTTTATCTGTCGGTGTTTTAGACGTATAGAGGAGGTGAGCTGCAGTGGCTTCAGCGGAGACTTTCGCTACTCGATACTTTGTGGGTTCAGCAAGCTGGCGGAGCAGTGTCCATACCTTGCGACTGGAATGTGTGAAATCCAGTGTTTCCACAGTCTTGCACCATCGTCTCTGCCGCTCTGAATTCAGAGAATCGACGGGAACAGGTGCAGTTTCAAGAGATCTTCGGTATTTTTGCTCCATGTAAAGTTCCTCTGTCTCTTTCGACCAGCAAGGAGTGTAGGTCTTCCTCTGGTATCCACGAGAGATGTTGTTTGTCGCAGCAGAGATCAATATGCGGCCAAATATGATCTGGGTTTGGGGTGTAGGCAAGACCCGTTGAATGCGGTTTTCGACTTCGGCAGTGTACGATGACCAGTTTGCTTTTCTAAAGTTCCAGCGAGGTAATGGAGCAGACTGAATTAGCAGTACCTGCAGACTGATTCCGAGCAAAATAGGGTGGTGCTTTTTTTGGAAAGAATCCAAGCACTGTCCTGGAAGCAGGAAGCGGAATGCCACTACTCTCTTTGATGGCGATGCAGAAGTCAGGGCTTCGGTCAGTCTTCCATCTTGCTGATCTGAAAGTTCCCTACTCTTTAGCATCGTGGCACAAGTGTACACCTGCCCTGTCGGTTAGTTGTTCACCTGCCGCATTGTTCACGATGTAACCCTATGAAGTATGGTGGCTGTTAAAGTCGCCCGCATAAACAGTTGCGTGAGGCATCGTTGTTAATGGTGGTGTTGGCCAGTTGGTTCCGGGTCGCTTATATATGTTCGTTATAGCGATTTCTCCGACGGTCACTGTAGTGTATTCGAGACCATTTGGTTCGTCTATGTATTCACCGATCCAGTTTTCGATGCTGTTTATCACCACGACATCCATGAGATCTAATCTGGCATATATAGCTGCAAATCGTGTTTGGAGTCACAGGTATTGGCGACCATACTGAACCTAGCAATTTTGTATCCGGCTGCTTTGCAGTCATCTTCAGTGTGCGTCTCTTGCAGAATGGCGATGTCAGTCTTGTTTTCTTTTAACTTCCTTGATAGATATTCGCATTTTGCGTTGGAAATGCCTTCGACCCTCAGTTGAAATATGCTGAGTGTGTGGCCCACGGCTTCATTTTTTTGGCCCTCATAAACACTGTTGGATTTCTTCACTCTTTTTCTATGGCCCTCATAAGGACCGTTGGATTTCTTTGCTCTTCTTCTGTGGCCTTCATAAGGACCGTTTGGTTTATTTGTTTTTCCTATGTGACCCTCAGAAGGGTCATTGGGTTTATTTCGTACTGGTTTACATGTTTGGTTCGGAAATGAATCACTAGATTTGTTGCTAGTCGAGCCGAGAGATTGCTTTCGCAACGTTCGGCTGTCAGGTGACGACATTCGTTCTACTTTTAAGTTTTGGCGTACTTTCGCAATACGTACCATGTGTAGGTTATCGTCTTGTCCCCACTGTTACCTTATGGGACTAAATAGAAATTACGGAAACCTTGCTTTAAACATTCAGTGGCCACTCGTCTCTTCGAATATCTTCCATGTGACTTATTCAAGTAGAAAACCTCTTCGACCTTATGATTGAGACGAAATAGACCTTATATAAACATAATTGCAGTACACTTCTAAGTTTTTTTCCACACTAATAGTTGATTGGATCCTATGAAAGAGGTCCACTGTTCAGGTCAGCTCCGTCCAAATTTTTCGGTCGTTGATCACATCTTCAGGCATTCTTCGCATGTTCATATCGTTTTTTACGTTTTTGACGTCATCGCACCATCTTTTCTTCGTCTTCTCTTCTCTTCCCTAGATTCTTGGACGAAGAAGAAGGGAATCATAATCCTGATCCAAAAACGTCAAGATAATTCTTGCTGCTCGAACTGTCGCAAACTTACCCTGTTTGGAAAGGTATTCTCGATTTTCAGCTTGTAAGAGCCCCTCGATACATACATGTATACATACCTCAGAGAGTTAAAAGAAACCTCTGAGTAAACCAGTCAGGATTTCGATCGAAACATTCGTATTCGTACACCGGCTACATATTTGATGTATTTGCTGCCGAGTATCGAACAGTGTTGTCGATTTCAGCTTCCCTAATTCGCCAGCTTATTCCATTTTCGTTCCTCGATTGATTCCATTCACCGCGCAACAGGGTGAAGAATCATATGCAGCTTCAGCATTCGAGAAAAGATTGTTGCCATTGTGAAAAGAATG